GTCGCTGCCCTTCACGGGGTCGCCGAGTGCGGTCACCCCTGCAGTGTCCCTTTCTCTGCCCTCCCACCCTTCCCCTTTCTCCGTACAGGTCCAGCATGCCAGCAAGCAGATCACGGCGGAGAAGCAGTACAAGGGCATCATCGACTGCATAGTCCGCATCCCCAAGGAGCAAGGCATCGCCTCCTTCTGGAGAGGCAACCTAGCCAACGTGATCCGGTACTTCCCCACCCAGGCCCTCAACTTCGCCTTCAAGGACAAGTACAAGCAGATCTTCCTGGGGGGAGTGGACAGGCACAAGCAATTCTGGCGCTACTTCGCAGGGAACCTGGCATCTGGGGGTGCTGCTGGAGCTACTTCTCTCTGCTTTGTCTACCCGCTGGATTTTGCCAGGACCCGGCTGGCAGCTGATGTGGGCAAAGGAGCCAGCGAGAGGGAGTTCACTGGGCTGGGCGACTGCATTGTCAAGATCTTCAGGTCTGATGGCTTGAAGGGCCTGTACCAAGGATTCAGTGTGTCTGTCCAGGGCATCATCATCTACAGAGCAGCCTATTTTGGGGTTTACGACACAGCCAAGGGTAAGAAGTGCATGGAGAGGTGACTGCAAGGGAAGATCCATCCGGTAAAGGCACTCCGGGGCACTTGGCAGTACAAGGACAAGCCAGGCTTGGCTCAGCACTGGTTCAGGGTGCTAGTGCTAGACTACACACAGGTGTTCCTGAAGTGCATTCCGGCCTCCTTTAACTTGCTGCTCTAAGCAGAAGCCTTGGGTTGGCAGTCTGTTTTCAGATACTTGCCAGTTTTTCTCTGTCTTAAGGCTTGTACAGATGGACTTGTATGGTAGCTTGTTACTCATGATGCAAGCCTGTGAGGGTTCTGCAGGAGAGACCTTTTGGTCAGGGAGCATGAAGGTGGCATAGATCCCAGCATCCAACAGTCCTATAAACTTGCAGTAGCTGCTGACAGTCAAATGTGAAGGGAGAAGTTGCTGGCTTGATTGGGTTGGATTGATTGGGTGACTCCCGGTGTTGGTGGGTGGTCATTTCTTTCACAGCCATCTTCCCCACAACCCTTTCCTATGTACTGACTCTCATCATTTGTTCCTGATGACAGGTATGTTGCCTGATCCAAAGAATGTGCATATCGTAGTGAGCTGGATGATTGCCCAGAGTGTCACTGCAGTAGCAGGGCTGGTTTCTTACCCTTTTGATACTGTGCGACGTAGGATGATGATGCAGTCTGGCCGAAAGGGAGGTAAGAATAAGTGTTCCTATGGTGGTCTGGCAGCAGAAAGCATATCTTCATCAAGATGTGGTAGGGGATGCTGGGTGTTTCTTGCATTAAGGAGTACTAATGACTTCTTACTAGAATCCTTAAAAAACTGTGGGAAATACATTGGTAGTATTTCTGCCTTTTTCACTGAAAAGCCTCCAAACTGATTTGATTTCCACATGGAGAATTACTTCTCATGAATTGATTAGTTAATCTTTACATTTTTTGGCTTGTTCCTTGTTTTAAATATATGAAAGTTGAAACAGAATTGCTGTATAACTTCAAGCCTTCTGACCTTTATGTTTGTTTCCACAGCTGATATTATGTACAAGGGCACAATTGATTGCTGGAGGAAGATAGCTAAAGATGAAGGAACCAAAGCGTTCTTCAAAGGTGCCTGGTCGAATGTGTTGAGAGGCATGGGTGGAGCTTTTGTATTAGTACTTTATGATGAAATCAAGAAATATGTCTAAAACATCATAATATAGTTCAATTGTTCTCAATCAACTTTTTTTAAAAACATGCTATCGTGATGTAATGGACAACAAAATATTTCCTAGGGAAAG